AAAACACCAGAACGAAATTGCAACTGCAACAGTAAAAAAACTGGTCCAACACTTTTGAGACTGGGCAGGAAATCGATGGTTTTTGCAACCGTTGTTATATACAGAACAGAGCAGTATTCATTAACCGCAAAATCGAAAGCAAAGCAAAATCGAGCTATATGGTTATACCACGCTTATCTTTCCAATAAAATATGCCTAATGCCTTTCACTAAACGCCATGATTCAATCAGTCAGTATTTAGCGGATGACCAAGCCCATAAAGTAGACGTTGATGTAAACGATTTCTGCCAATAAAATCATAAGAATTAAAAAAAAAAGTCCAAATCTCCCTGATGTCTGCCACATAATCAATATTGACGTTTTAGGTGAGGCGAATAGCTGCACAGAGTGCACAGCTTTTCATGCTGCTCAAAGAGCCCGGCATGGTTTAACAGCAAACTTCAAGCAATAAGCCACTGTATGCAGCCACTTAATGCCCCTTCAGTGACTCTTAGCCCACCATAGACAATGCAATAAATAGCTAAGCAAAATCTAAATGAATTTCTTAACATTCAGATTTCTTGAAAAATCAGATCACTCTTCAAAGTCATAGCTTCATCAATCTGTACTGCTTCAAAAGGTGAAAACAAAAAGTGATAGATACACGATAAAAAATTTAATCTTAAAGCGGAATTCTTGCCCTTGCAATCACTGCAGAAATTGAATACATCCTATTTATATGCAACCGTAAGATAAACACATAATTCCTCTAAAGTAGATACATAAGGTACATCTACCACAATTCCCGCTTAATGGAATATGTGCCGTTATAGTTTGTTAACAGAAAAGCAAACAAGTTGATTTCTTCAGTCTTTACAGTTTCAAAACTGCAGAACGTATAAATGAAAGAACTCCATAAATATATGATGAAGGAACTATGAAGAAACTACAATAATAATTTGCAAATATGAAGTAAAAACTATATCAATGTTTTACAGCAGTTTTTTTCAGCACCACTAATATAAAAAATCATCTTTCTTGACGTTTAAAGCTCAGTTTTTATAAGAAATAGAATCAGAAACCTCAACTAAAAACGTAATTAACACGAAAATAATAAAGTTTTTCTACCAACATCAATTCAGTTTTTGTCTTCAAGGTTCAGGCTCATATCTTCTTTCAAACATTCTGTTCCAGACAGCCGATTTATTTTCTCTGTACATATTGAGTGATGACGTTCTGCACCTCATAAAATTTCACTCGTGCGCGACGATCGATCAACTGAGCTGGTTAAAAGTTAACTGCTGCCTGTTAATAACTCTTAGGAAACATTGGCCAAATGCATCTTTCAAGACTAGCATCGCATATGAGATACAATCTTTTAAGAAGTCAAAGTAATGTTACGTTTGATGTCGTCTTCTGCTATGTGAGACAGCTGGTCAGAAGATAAGCATGCATTGGAAGCATGCTAGACAATGACAAACAAAACAGTAAGCAGATAACAAACAGTGAGAAAGTAGCACTTAGTCAGTTAAGTAGCAACCTTTAAAATCATCTAAACAACCATAAGGTTTACAAAACCTATCACCCAATAAATTATATATTGATAATCTAGTCCTAAACATCTTTCTACTCTTGATACAGGTGTTTTCCTTTTTCTTCCTATTTCTACATTAAGTCTCCTCAAAATTCAGAGTAATTTTATAACAGTATCCAGACTCCTGTCTTTCATGCAAAATTTGGTTCTATTTTAACCGACTCGAACTAGTCCCAAACTTAAATAAGAGTAGGACAAATACGGCCTAGGCGAAACAAGGCAACTCGCCCTTAGCTGCACATGTGTTGAATTTTTACAGAGAAAATTTTTTTTTCTTTTGGCAAAGTTCCACTACAGTGATATCCACAACAGTCTGGTGATTGTATGGGCTTAAGCAGTTGCTTTACCTATGCCTTTTGTACTTTTCGACTAATACAAATCTCTCCGTCTGGTCGTCAGTTATTCTGCCATAAAATGAATCCAGGTTACAGAAAATTATTCGATAGATTTCTGATCACCTATGCTTCTGACCCCCAATTCTTTCTTTTTTTCTGCAGTGCTCAGCACTTTTTAAAATGCCTATTTTGAAACGTTCAAAAACTGCTGCATATTTCTTCCACTTTTGAATCCTTGAGACACTAATTTTTTTTTTTAAATTTTCAAAATTTTTCAGGACATTGCGTTCTTCATTTGTTCAGAGGTAATGACAAAGCTGTCATATTTTGTTTGTTGTGTCATCACATTCAATGTGTATGAATATTTTTGTTCTGCATAACATTCCTGTGCGTTTTATGACTGATATTTGATAATAACTGTCGAACGCTTAATTTGAGGCATTGTTTAAACGAATTAATAATTGGTTTTCATTATATCACACTGTACCTAGACCAGTATTAATGTTTTCAGCGAGTGACTGGCAAATAATTAGGCACAATTTCAAATTTAAAAAACTTATCACTTCTTATAACTATGATTTAGGATTAAAGTACCTGGTAATATTAACACATTTTTCTCATTCAGAAGAAATTGCAAGAATTTGTTTGTAGTCATATTAGGCTAAAGACATAACACCTTGTCTTACCAGTCAAGCTGAGGAAGGTTTGCATTGGCCGTTAATATTTGAATTTGAGATGACGTTGGAACTATAAATGTTGCAAGCGCTTTTGTCGGCCTTATAAGGACTAAAATTAAATGGTATTGTTAAGCATATCTGTAGTTTCGACAAGGCCTGTAAAATGCAGTGAAGTGCGTAGAAAAAGCTCAAGAAACTCCAAAATTTTGCCAGATAAAGTTTTATGAACTTTCTGTAGCTCCACCTGAACGTTCAGTTGCTAAAATTTTTTTTCCAGGAACGGACTAAATAAAGGTCTATTCAGTGCTAAATGTGAAAATCAGCTGGATTTTGGCTAACCAAAGCAAAATAGTGTTTTGTGGGAGCAAAATGAAATTACTTTTTTGTGTGAGTACAATCGGATTCTACAGTTCTGTTATAGTTTTACTCTGAACCGTTATCCTAAATACCGATTTTTTGCTTGCAGTATAGTAATGTTAAAATGTTAACAAAAAACCCTTGAAGCAGTTAGAAAGGAAATTTTACATAACAATTACTTCAATTATTACACCTGCTGAAGACTTCTGTTTTGTTCAGCGCTTCAGTTTTATACTTATCATTGCTCTAGCGTGTGTTTTACTTCCAGTTGATATTTCTGTGACTAGTGAACACAACTCAGGACAAGCGACATCGTATCATTTTTCTGTTGGAAATAGATGAACATTTTTATCGATGGTTCAGTTTGCTTATATATTTTCTGAGTGAAGGAATCGTCTGCAGAACAACTGTCACTAGAATTTCTGTTTTTATTTAGGCAACTATATTTCTAAGTTTAGTAAAGATGCTTGAAAGTTTATTCACGGAAGCATTTTGTTCAGTCGAGTTTGCATTTGCAGCGTATTTCGCAAAAAAATAGAACTGAGTAGCGAAGAAGATGCTGCAGTTTAGCGTGCTATTGGCTGTCGGAATTTTTATCTTATTTGTTCTTTAAGATTGTAGGGAGAAGTTATTCTTGTGAAATAACTAATTGGTTTTTAAATGTTGGAAAATAATTTATTTATTTTTTAATAAACAATGCCACGACATTATTGACTACGTTTAAACTGCAGTCTGCATAATGCTTATTTCGTAGCATTCCACGCTTAATATCTATCATCTTCGGTAACTACGACCTCAGCGTCGTTTATGATAGTAGTATAAAAATTTTCGGCATGGCGAACATACAGATTGTACTGGAGTGGTGCATGTGCAGGATGATGGGGGGCAGTTTAATGGGTAGGCCTTAATTTCCCCGATGCAGTCTCCTTGCAGGAATCGCGCTTGACCACTGTTAGCAGCTGAGGTTTGTGGTTGTCCACAATTCTTAACAAACATAGACATTCGAGACCTCATAGAACAGCATATCGGAGCCGGTTGAAGCTGACATTGCATTACAGCAGGCTGGATTTGAGCAAAGACTTTGGCTGGTTGAACCTGACAAGAAGTTGGCTTTGTTTGTAATGAACATTGACTTGTTTGCGGGCCTGCGTAACAAGGAGGAGATTGACCGGCACAAGGCACTTCGGTAAATGACCTGAATTTAGTTTTTTTAATCTGAATTTTTTTTACAACAAAAAACTTACCTTTTTTGTAGCTTTTGAATGTCGTCTACAGTTCTTTTCCCGGTGTAATTCTCATCACTGCTACCGTAATGACTCGTTTCTGCATATGGCTTGAAATTACTGAGCGGAGTACTCTAGATTTAAATTGGTTATGATCTGCTTGTGTATTTAAGTCAAGCCCTTTAAAGATGTTTGGCTAAAAACACTTTCTGAATGTTAACCGGAAGTGTAATGGTTGCATTTATTTTAATCCAGCCTGCAGGAGCTTTAGAGGAATAATAGATTGCACGAATTTCTGAATACGAGATTCTGAGACGTGATTTAAAAGTAACTTACATCTAATTGTTGTAAAGCGATAAGGATCAGCAGCGTTTTACGATACATGGTATTTACACTGTCAGTACACCGTTAGTTGATCTGCAGACTTTCGTCTAGAATGCAGATATATATTCTATAGAAGCAAACTGGATCTATCGCTGTGTTTGATTAAGTCACATTTGTCTACTTGTATCATACAGCATATTGGCTTGCTATATTTGGCTAGGAACTGGTCATGCGTCTGCCTGCATTACCCAAACTAGATAGGATTTCTCCTTTTTTTCCTTTTCAAAACAATTATGAGATGCGTGCAGATTTCGTTTTTATTTTATTACTGTCTCGCATCGTGAGACTCCTCCATACTTCTTAATTGAGTTACCAAGCTTTTTGCTTAGAAGTTGAGCTTTTCTGCAATCGAGATGTATGTGGTGGCTAAAAGTAGAGTAAATTTAGTAACTTCATGCTGATATTTGATTCTGTTAGATGAATTGTCCCAAGTACTAGTTGACGTTGACTTAGAATTCCCATGTCGGATTTTCGTTTGCTGTTATTTCTGCCCTTAAAATCTGTTTTTTTCTCATTTTTGGATTTGGAACTCAGGATGCTAGTATTTTATCAGGTTTATTTTGCTCTCATTTGTTGAATGCTTCTGGAAACAGCTTTAATAACGAGGGTTTATTTGTATGAATTATCAAATTTGTATAGTTAATGGTATTAAGGGAATTCAAATTAGATATAGAGTCAAATGAGGCTTCAAAGAAGTGCACTTTATTGAAGAAATATTTATTACAGGTGAACAGTTGTTAATAGGAAGTCACTTGTTGCATCAGCAACAGAAGGTGTTACCATTTGAAGTTGCCACACGCTTCAATAAATTATTGTTTTGGTCACAAGGTAGATTTAAATACTGTGAAGAACGCTAGAATTTGGAGGCGCAAATTTTCTAGCATCATTTTTCGCATCATTTTTAAAAGTTTTGAAGAGAGCAACAAAAGAAAGAATTAGGCCATTTTTGAGTACTCAAAAAACATCTGTCGTGAACAGCAAAGTAGAAGGTAAGGAACACAAAAAAGCAGAAAATACAAAACGAGCGATTCAAGTCAAGAAGAGAGTGGCATCATAAATTACCTGCGACTTAATAACAAACACGTTTAAAAACTGAAAGTTCAAACTACTCTGTACCTGCCGTATATCCTATAATTTAAACCTTCGGAGGTGCTATGAGATTTGGTTTATTTCACATTCAAAACTTTCTCCTTATATCCATTTTTCTGCTTTTTGAAACATCTTACTACATTACCCCAATAATTTATGAAGTAGAATGTAAATTTGGCCGTTTTGCTAAGCAAGAATTATTCAATAGTGATAAAAATATCATTGGTAAGACGATTCACGAAAGTATTTGCTCCATGCAGCGGGAATCTGGTTAGCCGGACATGGACGAATGCAGGGCTGGCCTACGGAACCACATACACAGGCTTTAGCCTGACCACTGACGAAAGCTGAGACTGAAGGAGCACCAAGACTAACCACATTAGCAGTTACTCGAGCACGCATTGAGCATGCCAAGGGTGCCGGTTGAACTTGACATCCTGCTCCGTTCCCCTGTATTTTGGTGGTCACGGGTTGCGGCTGCAACTTGACATACTGTGTAGGTGGCTGCAGCTTACAGTATCCCGGTTGTGATCCGCAAGGATAAGACTGCGGACACATGAAACCAACCTCAGAAAAACTTGATCTGAAAGTAGTTTTTCTGATTGTTATTTAGGAAGTTAAAATATATCCATTTAATAAATTTCTGATTCACCTTTTGAACAAGTTTTTAGTTGCGGACGGGGAGTCAAAAAGTTGGAGTAGCTTATCTTCGTTTGATCCATACCTTGGCAGTGGATATAACTCTTGTTTACTGGTTGGCAATCCAAAAATGGCGTTAATGGCTGGGAAGCACTAAATACAAATAAGGAGTATTATTAGAAGTGTATTTCCGTGATTTTTGCGATCAAAATAAAAATTTAAAAATATTTAACTGCTATATTATCAAAAGTACTTCTGCAAACTGGAGAAGGAGGAGGAGAAGGAAGTTTAGACTGAGCTTCATTACTAAAACGGCACCTGTGGTATACGAGAACCAAATTTCATTCCTTATAAACTGAAACGTCCACTCAAGTAATATTCTGGTGCAAGCTTGATATGGCAGTTGGGCTCAGAAATAATCAGCAACGGACCGGTAACAATGACAACAGACTTGAAGATGCAATTCCTTTTGGCAGCATATCTATTAATAGCTATATTAAATATTAAATATTCCAGGACAGGCCATAAAACAGGTATAACCGGTATTGTAGATCTTGAAGCAGTCATCTAGTGTAATTAGCTACTTTCTGCATTTTTTCAATTGGCTACAGAGATTTTCCTGTTGTTGTAACGAGGAAGTTTGGAAAGCAAATGGTTCTATAATACCCTAGTAGCAACAACTTTTTCAGTTTTTAATCGAACATTTCTGTAACCTATCCATACTCTTACCTTTGTTTGAGTCATTTCTCTGAATTGGCGATGCCAAATTATCACTAACCAATTTTCACGATATTTCTGTTTATGAACTTCGTAACAACTTTGGCAAGAAACAAAAGTCTATCTTCTCATTTATTTCCAGCTGCGAAAAAGTCACAGAGCCAAAAGGTCAACATTTTAAAAATGCATTTCACAGTAAGTGTAAACAGTTTACATCAACACTTTCTCTTAAAAAACCGCCTGTAATGTTTTTGGGTAACCTAAAAAACTCGACTGATACAGAAATAACGTTGTACTTTAAGTTTTTGTTGCTGCAGAAGTGATTTCAGTACAAGACAAACATCAGATTTTCCTTCTTAAAAGGCAGTTTCTTAAAGTAAATTCTGTTCTACACAATAAACAGGGAAAGAGAGCAAATTTAAAGTGCGTGATTATCATCAATAACAACAGAAGCATAAATGAATCTTTCTTCTCCTTGTTCCGAAAAAACGGTACAGAAGTCCACGAAGTTTCGGTCGCAAGCAAGACTGCTTGAAAAATTTGAAGAGACGGCAGTAAACCTAAATCTGCAATGATAGCAAATTTTAGCAGCAAATCCACTTAAGGTTGCACAGTCAGATTTTTGAAACCAGCACTGGTTTTGTTTTTTTAAGCAATTTTAACATTTTGTGAAATTATGCCACTCTTCACGCTTATTTCCTATTTGGTACGTTTAAAATCCGCGTTCTTATTAAATTCTAACCCCATTTTTTATTTTACTTCTGCAAGGCACTTTTCTTATAAGTTTATCACAACACATTACGAATCTCTTGTTGCTTTCTGCAGACAATACTTATATACATAATGATTTATCTTTTTTCAACTTGCTTAAGCTGGACCCGAATTTCTTTAATTTAATTAAATGAATCTTTTGAAATATGGTGCTTCAAGACGCTTCACAGTGAAGCATTTACAAGTTTATAACTCAAAACATTGAAATCTAAAAAAGAAAATAAAATAACGAGTTTCCAGATTTTCAAACTGAGTAAGGAACTGAAACAAAAAAAGAACCATATGCATAAAAAATATATAGGGGAAGAATTTAAATAAGATGTCTTTAAAGTAATTCTGTGCTCGGCAAGGTCATCTTCTGGGACCCAACTGGTACTAATTTGGCATATGAAAGTTAAATATTGATCGGTTTTAGCTTGCAAATTTTTCCGTAAAAAGGCTCAATTTCCAATCCGTGTGACCAAATACTATTTCTCTGCACTCATTTGGACGGCAATGACAAGGCGATTTGAAACAACACAGATAGCATTTGAAAGTGATTCTAGAAATTAAAATTAGTCTAACTTTATCCAGCATCCGACAATAATCACCAAAGGAGCTCAAATACCGCTTGCAACTTTGCAGACGATATGGTTAAAAACAAATGAGGTTAATCCTAATGGATCCTTTTGATTTCTTCGACCCTCTAAATTCATGAATGCATCTGACCAGCAGTTATAAGGTACGAAATCAATTAATGTGAGCAGTAGTAGAAGAAATTAAAAATTGCTCCTTGTAACTGTGAAACAGTCAAACTCTAATTTGTCGAAGGTATTAACCAAAAAGTTACTGTACTAGTCTAGAACAATGAAGAGCATGATTTTTGTCGCGACAACTACTGTTCTGTTTTAAAATTGTAAAGATAAAAAGGCGGCATGTTTTAGTTCAAAAAACCTAACAGTTCAACAACTTCAGCAAGTCCATCATAACCAAACTATGAACCGTGATTCAATGATTGAATTTCTTGAGCGATATTTTACTAAGATGTTGCGCTATAAAATAGAAAATCATTTGTAATTTTACTTGCATACTACCTTCCTTATTTTCTCTTTCTTTAATTACAACAGTATCTAAAGTAAAAGATTAAATAGTAAACGTTTGTTGACTGTAAAACTGACATCCTGCACCTTTTTTTCCTTGTAGTCACAATAACTACCGCTTAAGCGTATATCAAAGATCAAAGGAGAAATTTTCAGTCGGATTCTGTTTTAAATGTTATATTTCTAATTGACAAAAAAATTAACTCACCTACTCTCTATAAATACAGTTATGGCTTTGGGCAGTAAAAAAAATTAAACTGCTTTCACACCAAATAAAAACCATAAAAATAAGGAAATTTCAATAGCTGATGACAGTAACTTTAAGAGTTCTATCCGGTAAAGAGAACTTTTTTATAGAAAAAAAGAAAAATAACAAAGAAAATTTTTAGCTTTCTTTATAAAAGTCTATGCCTTCATAACTGTTACCCTGATCTAAAACAATTAGTTGGGGAAAGACATCTCATTGCTTTCCGAGACCGAAAGCAAAATTTCTTCTCAGTAAGCTGCTTTCTACAAGAGTCACACAATTTTTTTACAGCAACTAGCCTACAACAAATTTTTCATTTGGAACTTTCTACCGCACCCATATAATTAGATTTATTTCTGGCAAAATTTGACCGTAAAAAACCAAGCGACAACAGAGACATCTTTTCCCTTTCCAATCCACCAGTTATCATAGAAAGGAACCTCAAGAAGCAAAACCCTGAAAATTGCAAACTACGAGGAAACCAAAGTGTACGTTTTAGGGGTGTCTCTATCAGTGTGAGTAATGGTGTTTAACAACCGCTCTCAAACAAGCATCGTAAACTTCTCAACTCAGCAACTTCGCTTCTATAATTTTCTCTCTGCAACTATAATCCCAGTACCGCAATTGCATTTATTTTCACGGCTCATTTAAACATTAACAACCAAAAACCAACGGTAACAAAGATGAACAAAAGTTAAAAAGGATAAAATATTTAGCTTCTCGCCGTTTAATAAATGATAAAGATGCCAGAACTTGTAGAAGCTTTGAAACAT